CTGTGGGTTTCCAAGACTGTTACTCTTTAGAGGAGTAGAAAGTACCATCTTTTCTGGAGGAGCAGCTGGTAGTTTCAAACTGCTGACCTTGAGGTTAGCAGCCCAATGCTTAACCACTACACCACCAGGACTCCTACCTGAGCCCCCAAAGGGAGTCCCAACCGGAATGTCTACTACCCAAGGGAGTTCTTTGAACTAGAAGAAACAGAGGCTAAACCCACAGATGTCTGCCCCAAAGTTCATCGCTGCAGTGGGAGCTAGAGTTTGGACCCATGGGGTCTGATCCTAGCCCACTGCCTGCCCCTCCCACTTTGAGAGCCACTTCCATTTTCTTCCAAGGTGTGAGTGTGAGTGTGAGAGCATGAGTGTGTGAGACTATTAAGTGTGTGAGTGTGAGAATGAGAATGTGAGTGTATGAGAGCGTGAGACTGTGAGTGTGAGTGTGTATTTGAGAATGTGCATGTGAGAACCTATAAGTGTGAATGTGTGAGTGAATGTGAGTGTGAATATGAGAGTATGTGTGTATGTGAGTGCCTGAATGTGAGTGTGTGAGTGTGTATAAGAGTGTGTGTGTGTGAACATGAGTGTGAGTGAGCATATAATTCTGTGAGTGTGTGTTATGAGAGTGAGTGTGTATATGAATGTGTGAGTGTGTAGATGTGAGTGTGTGCGTGTCCTGCTGGAGGTCTTGGCAGTGGGCTCTCAGGGTGTGGTGAGGACTTCGCTGAGAACTTTTCCTTAAGAGCAGGTTGCTTTTTCGTTTTACTTTGGACCCTGTGTTTCTTCTAACCCTGGCCTTTGGTGGTGCCATCAGTACCCAAACCTTTGCTCTTTGTTGGCTCAAGCAGAACCCATCCCCACTGGTTGGTCCCCAAGGCCCTTTCCAAGTCCTCCCTGGTGGATTCTTCCAGAACTTTCCCTACCCAATGGTTACTTTCACAATTGATATGTTTTACAAGGTTTACCAGGAGAAGGATTAGCCCTGAGTCCCTTCAAGAAAGAAGATATTCAAACAAGTCCCTGCAATGGGATGAGATGAGGTCTGGGGTGGCTGAGCTGGGACCTGCCCGGAGGAGAGGGTTCAGAGAAAAGGCAAGACCTCAGAGAAAGAGGCTCACTGGCGAGCCCAACCCCCATTTCACAAGCAGTGGCACAGAGGCTAAGGAGGTGGAATTGGCTGCCCTTGGGCTGAAGCAGGCCTGACGCCCACGAGTTGGCACTGAGGGTGAAGAGACTGACTGGCCCCTTCTGGGGCTGGGCAGACGGCTGGCAGCTGGGCTGGGGTGGGGTAGAGTGGGGAGCAACCAGCAGCCCTCTCCACCCTCGGCCCTGCTGGCTTTGGGCAGGTTTTATGGGCATGTTACTGATGAGACAGGAAGGCTGTGGAGGGAGGGCTGGGGTGGGAATGAGGTCAGGGAGGGCGGGAAGGGGTGGGGGGGTGGCATTTGCCCTGATGAGCCATTTCCCCTGATGGGCGGAAGCTTTGTTCCTCCAGGAGATGGGGAGAGGGGTGTGGGCTTAGGAGTCATCAAACCAAACTAAAAACAAACCCCCCTGTCCTCCAGTCCACCGTGGGTTTCCGGGAGTAGAAAGCCCAGTCCGTCTCCTGAGGAGCTGCTGGCAGTTTCAAACTGCCGACCATGCGGATCGCAGCCCAGTGCGTAACCACTGTGCTGCACGGATAGGGAAAGTTGCTCAGCTCCCTGCATCTCAGTGTTCTCACCTGGTGAATGGGACTGGTAATGAATGAAGCCCGGGCCTGCTGGGATGGGCATGTCACACAGCGGTGGCCAGCAGCTGATGTGGCCACGGTGGGCTCAGTCTTGGG